ATGAATAAACAAATTACTAAATCAATATATATAAGTACTAATTTAATTTTTTAAAGACTTATTTATTTTTATTGCAAAGTCAGATATATATAGAGAGAGGAGGAGAGACAGAAAGAAATAATTTCCGTCCAATGATTCACTACCCAAGTGACTGCAATGACCGGTGCTGCACCGATCCGAAGCCAGGAGCCAGGAGCTCCTCCAGGTCTCCCACGCGAGTGCAGGGTCCCAAGGCTTTGGGCCATCCTCGACTGCTTTCCCAGGCCACAAGCAAGGAGCTGGATGGGAAATGGAGCTGCGGACACTAGAACCCGCACACATATGGGATCCCAGCACGTTCAAGATGAGGACTTTGACTGCTAGGCCACCACGCCGGACCCAGTACTAATTTAATTTAAACTCTAAGGTGGAATGATTGGTAGGTATATGATAGCATGACTCTCATATTCACCATAAAATAATGGGGTTGCAAGTAGAAGGAAGAGCTGTTCAGGAAGCGCAATGCACTGGATAGGAAGACTGATTCCCATGGGTGATGACGCATGAGACCTTTTCTTCAGCATCTCCCTTCTGCTTCAGCTGCGGTTCTCTTCCCGACTGTCCCCCAACCAGGGCGGGCTGCCTCTCCTTTCCTCTGCACTTCTGTGACCTGAGAGGTCCCGCACAGCAGACAGCAGTAAATATGTTCCAGGTTACTCATAACCCAAACATCGATTGTAGGTCAAAGGCCGGCTTCTTTGTGTCCCATGCTTGGGGGCACAAGATGAGAGCATCTTTTTCACAGAGCGCACCCTGTAGACCTCATGGTCCCTGGATAGCTGCGTTAGTGAACACTTCCTGAGAACAAAGGGTACTGAGCTTTCCTGGATTTCCTCTAGAGGATGCCAATGCCTAGAGCTGCCTCCACCGCGAGGAAGGTACCAGTTGGGAAGTGAGACACGCCTGAGTGTGTGAGGGATCCCAGCTCCCTCACTGCCCCTAGCTGGCTGGGAAAGCTGGGGTACATTTCTGAACTTTCCTGAGCCAGTTCATGTGACCCTGAGACGGTAGTGTTGTCATGTTGAAAAAGAAGGCTGTTTTGGGAACTAAAGGAGATCATGAAAGAGGAAAAGCTCTTGGCTCAAAGTCTACACGTCATGTGTAGGGGTTGTTTGTTACTGTTTCAAGTGCACACTGCCCCCTCAGAACACTGCCCTTACCCTGAGGCTGGCTCAGTAATACCTTCCAGAAACTATAGTTCCTTTGCTTGAATAATGCTGGATAAACACAGATGGAATCTGATTCTTGGAAGCCCTTTTTTGAAAAACCAGTCGCTCAAAGCTTCCTGCCAAACATGTCATGACGGCATGAAGTGGGTTAGAAAATCTGCCAGCCACTGACTGCAGTAGGGGAGACACCGAGCCTATCAGCAGTGCAGCCACGGCTCCTTGCGGGGATGGGCAGCTGTTTTCCCAGGCGGCTGATCTTATCAGCTGTGTACTGATTTTCTACTGGGTTCAGTTTCCAAAGGTGACCTTTTTCCACTCTTGTCCCCAAGGTCTGGGGCCCAGAACTGCCTAATTGACCACCTATTTGGGGGATCAGCTAGATCTCTGTGTCTTGTCCCTCCAAGGTTTTTCTGCTCAGGATAAGCTCTGCTAGGAGCTCGAATAGGAAAAAAAAAAAAATGCCTTTGATGGTGGATCAGGCAGAATAGGGCAGTCACTGTGGACCCAGGCTGGTGCCTCTCTCCTGGGAAGAAGGCTGCCAGCTTCCCTCTTGATTTACTTTGTTTCCGCAATGTGTGGAGGATTCATCTGAGGCAGTAATTAGTAGAAAATAAAGCAGCCATTACTGGCTCTGAGTCACTGTGCACACTCCAGCAGCCGTTACCATGGTTTCAAGGCTGAATTTTTTTTTTCCTCCTCTGTGTTTTCTCCTCCCCTTTAGTTAATTTGTCACTCCTGCTTCACAGACTCCTCCGCAATCTGCCTCCACAGGCTGCTGCAGACTTAACCCTGTATAGAAGCTGGCTTATTCTGCGTTTGTTCAAATAACGTTTATTGCTTTTTTTGGTGTGACTAACAAAAATACATGCCAAGTGATACAGCGGAATCTAATATAAACAGAAGAAAATAAAAGATACAAAGTCACTTGTATTCCACGAGCAACATTTTAAAATGATATCATATGTCCCATCCCTTTATCTTTAATTGACATATAAAATTTTTACATATTTCTGTAGTACCCTGCAATGATACAATATATGTATATTACGTGTTATGCTTAAGTCAGGGCAAACCACCATCCCATCTCTTTGTTATGAATACTGTCTCGCTGAGATTGTAGATGACTCTTTAAAGATGTACTTGCTTATTTCAAAAGGTGGGGTGTGAGAGAAATCTTCAATCTGCTGATTCACTCTCCAAATAGCTACAAGCCGGGTCTGAACCAACCCAAGGCCAGCAGCCTAGAACGTCATCGTGGTCTCCCTTGGTGGGTGACAAGGGCCCAAGTAGTTGGACCATCATCTATTGCCTTCCCAGGCACATTAGCAGGGAGCTGGAGCAGAAGTAGAACAGTTGAGACTGAAACAAGGACTCGGATATGACATGCCAGCAAGCTATGACTTCACCTGACACAAATCCAGATAATTCATGATTTTATATTTGGCAATCTTAAAAAATTCTTTGACCTTGAAAGCTTCTGTAGGCTCAAACCCATGCTTTTACCCTCGGAGCTGTTGGCCAATAGGCACAGCTTTGGCTCTATTCAGCTGAGTACACTAGCTTACCTGTTATCAGTGTGTCTTCCTTTATCTACTAGATTACATGGAGCTCTCACAGTGTTCCAGCAAGGAAGCATCTGCCAGACACGTCAAAGCATTCACACTGCTTCTCTGGTGGGATCCGCATTCTTACTCTGTCATAACCAGGGGCTACACAAAAACTCTCCCACGTGAAAAACCCGCAATAAAAGACTCCTGGGCCTCCTGGCCGTGAACATGAGGCAGTGTTGTCATGGCCAACCTCATCTGCTGACTGGACCTGTAAAGTCAGTAGGGGGGCCTTCAGAAGTGGGGGAGCAATTAATCCCCTTTGCACTGAGCGCATCGGCCACAATTGACTGCCCTCAATCCAAAATAAGGACAGCTCAAGATGTATCCAGATGTCACAGTAGCATGGCACAAAGAGGTTTTGTGCTGTGGCTGGATTGGAGATGGGCACACTCTCAGACATGTCTTAATTCTGGTTTGGGCATAATGCATGCCTCAGTCCAGTAAATCTGTATCCAAAGCTGAACTCTGACCTGGAGGACCGATATAGGAGATCTTTGAGAAAATTCCTGGAAAATAGTTAAGTACATGTATTTTAACTTGTGTGTGTGTGTGTGTGTGTGAGAGAGAGAGAGAGAGAGAGAGAGAGAGAGAGAGAGAGAGCAAGCACATGTTTTAACTTTGTTTCCATGAACTTTCTGAAGTACCCTCATATATTCTGGCTGACAGCATCAAGCTGGGACAACTCTGACATGGAGGGGACAGTCCTGACATTATAAATTACTGGTTTTGGTGAGAGAGATTGAGGATAAAAGGAGAGAGACTGTGGAAACAAATTCAAAAATCATTCATCTTAGAGCAGGCATTCGGCCTAATGGTTAACAGAGGCTGCAACAGCTGAGTCTGGTACTAGAGTGCCTGCCTTTCAGTCTTGTCGCCACTGTCCATTTCAGCTTCCTGCTAATGAATGCGCTGGGAGGCAGCAGGTGATGGCTTAAGTATGTGAGCCCAGCCACTTATGTGGGAGACCCAGACTGAGTTACTGGCTCATGGCTTCAGCCTGGCTCAACACCAGCCATTGGAGGTATTGAGAAGAGAGCCAGCAATAAGAGCATTTTCTTTCTCTCTCTTTCTCATTCTCTGTCACAAAAATAAATATTAACAAAAAAGATTATTTATCTTGGGCTAATACTATGAACTCGCTATTATTTTATGAGCTTTATAAATGTAAACTTAATTCTCTTAAGACTCTGTAAGTATGTACTGTAATCACAGCTCCAGTTCGCAGATGATGAAACTGAGCCATTGAGAAGTGAGGTAATTTTCTCAAGGTAGCAGAAATAGCAGACAATATGGTGGGGCAGGCATTTGAGACCAGGCAATCTGGCTCCAAAATCCATGCTTCTAACTACATGATTCTGCATCGGTATAGACACCTTGGAAATTTCACAGAAACATAAATGAGCATGTATATGTATGAAGGCCACTGGTCACATTTTGCAGTATATGCTATATAGTATAATGCACATACTTAAAAAAAAAAATCACATTCTCAATGTTGGTCTGTAACCTTCCTGAAGATATTTCTCTATCTGTACACAAACAGGGCATAACATCTATTTGTGTGCTTGAAACAGTACTTATTTAAGCAGTCTCTTAATGAGGTGCATTTAGATGGTTTTCAGTGATTCTGCATGACCGCTTTCCGCAAAGGGTGGGGTGGGCAGGGGTGAGGAGGGGGATAAGATTTACCAAAAAAAAGCGACCTTTTCAGTTCAATCAGCTAAAGCTGCAAATAAGATTAAAAACCTAAAAAGCTGCAGGGAAAGCAGGCCTGTGTGCAGGAGGGGAAGGCAGAGGGGGGCCGTTACCATGGCTCTTCCTATTTTCCCTTTGTCTGGTGGCCCTACGGGATTGGCCAAACCCGTCAGGGGACTGCAGAGCACCCCCGCCCCCTTCCCGCCCGGCTCCTATTGCGCATGCGTGGAGAAAGGGGCCGGGGAGGAGGGAGCAGGAGTGCTGGTGCAAATAACCTCGAGTGAACGAACAAAAAGCGCAGAGGCGGGGTTTGGTCACAACCAAACTTGGCTATGTGCCTTTACCAAGACCCCACTCTTCTTATTGGTCAGACATCTTCAGCGCCATTGGTCCGAGAGGCAAAGGCCTGGGTCTGCCCCAAGCTGTGCCTGCTTCCGGAGCCGCAATGAAAACGGTCAATTGTGATGCCGCGTGCAGGCATTGCTTACGGCATGTCCGTGGGGGCCTGACGGGGCTTTGTGCGACTACCGGTAGTTGAGCGTACAAGCAAGTGTCCAAGATGCCGCCCAAAGGAAAAAGTGGTTCCGGAAAAGGGAGCAAAGGTAGAGCTGTCAGAGAAGTCAGGGAGAATGGGAGGGGGTGATAAGGGAGGAAACAAGAGACTCCCGGAGGCCGAGACGGAGGCACTGAGTGGCCAGTGTCCCCACTGGACGGCACTGTTTGTCTGGCTCTTCTCCGGTGAGGCTTAGAAAAAAGGCATGAAGGGCAGGGGCGGGTAGGAAGGTTGGCGGAGCTGTCGGAATCCTTTAAGATGCAGTGCTGGATAGTAAATAGTACTAAGGGGTGGTTCCTTAGAGGCGAGAATTGGGGCTGCCATTTCTAGGTTATTAGAGCTGTAAAAGTGACTTTCATTTTAAAAAAATCTACATTGGTTATGTTCTCAAGATATGGCTTACAGAATGATGTGCCCAATACGTGGGAAAGAGTCATCTACATAGCAGAAATGTGTGTGTTAGGCACAGTGCTTAGTTCTGGGGGTTTGAAAGCAAGACACAGATCTTACGGACATAGTGAGGAAGACAGAAGTATAGTGATTATGAAACACATAATAAATGCAATGTTGAGACATGTGTATGAAACATGGAAACTGAAGAAGTGCTTCATCTAACCCCAGCAGAGAAGGGAAGACTGCTAGAGGCGAGTTAGGCAGACCAAGATGACCAAAACATTCCCACCAGCCAAAACTATAGGGCGATAATGCACAAACCATGTACAGTTTTGCTAGGATAAAAATTCAAAGCAGAAACTAAGACCAAATCATGAAAAATACTGTAGGAGAGATCTCAGAAAGTTCACTAAAATTTTTACTATGAGAAAACTGCATTCATTTCCATTTTTTTTTTTTAATGCTTGTTTTCTACAAATGTTGAGGTAGCCATGTATGACTTTTGCTTCAAAATCAGGAAGCTGTGAAAAGAGATTGTTGCAGTGGTCCTGGTGACAGACAGGGGGTGGCCAGAATTAAGGTAGTGGTTATGGGAGAAAAAACAGTGATTGTGCAATGGACTGATGGCCCAGAACCTGGAGAGACCAGTCAGTTTGGGAGAAAGCGGGTATGGCCTATCAAGCACAGCAGAGTGGCCCGATTAAATGAAGACTGGGGGCCCTGCCACAATAGCGTAGTGGTTAAAGTCCTCATCTTGCACGCACCAGGATCCCATATGGGCGCCGGTTCTAATCCTAGCGGCCCTGCTTCCCATCCAGCTTGTGCCCTGGGAAAGCAGTGGAGGACGGCCCAAAGCCTTGGGACCCTGCACCTGTTTGGGAGAGCTGGAGAGAAGTTCCTGGATCCTGGCTTCGAATCGGTACAGCTCCAGCCGTTGCAGTCACTTGGGGAGTGAATCATCAGACTGAAGATCTTCCTCTCTGTCTCTCTTCCTCTCTGTATATCTGCCTTTCCAATAAATAAATCTTCAAACAAAAAGGAGGACTGGAAACAATACTGTTAGATTTGGGAATGAGAGGTGGCCTTAGGCAGCAGAGGGAGAAAGGCCGGAGTCAGATTACAGGGACCAGGGACTGACAAGGAAGGGCTAAAGTTGCGGACAATCAGTATGTACAGCCATATAAGATTTTTTTTTAAAAAGATTTATTTAGTTTTTATTGGAAAGTCAGGTTTACAGAGAGGAAGACATCCACAGATTCACTCCCCTAAGTGATAGCCATGGCCGATGCTAAGTCAGGAACTTCTTCTAGGTCTCCCACACGGGTGCAGGGTCCCAAGACTTTGGCCTGTCCTCAACTGCTTTCCCAGGTCACAAGCAGGGAGCTGGATGGGAAGCAGGGCTACCGGGATACGAACTGGTGCCCCCATGGGATCACAGTGTGTGCAAGGCAGGGACCCTAACCACTAGGCTACCACGCCAGGCCCAACCTTTAAGGTTTTAATGAGAAAATAATGGAAGTAGGATGATAGAAGAAAAACAATTAAAAGAAAGTTTTATTTTGTTGAATTTCTTCTGCATGGGGAACCCTCGCACGGTTTAGTTGAAGGATCCAATAGAGACGTGAAGATGCTAGGAGTGCAATACAGGAGAAAGGAAGGGCTAGCACTATGGGGAAGCAGTTGGCCTTTGAGAAGGGACACATCATGCTTCATAAAGAGACAAAGGATTGATTGTGAAAATTGGAAGCAGGAAGGGAAACAGGATGGCGTTAAAGAGATTGTGTTTAGTGGCCTCGAGTGATAAAGAGCTGTTTTTTTCAGACTGAGGAGCTGGGATTCCGTAATATTTTTGGAGGAGTGCTAAAGGTCTGAGTAGCGTAATGGGAGAGGGAATGAAGTAAGTGAAAGTATTAACCTCACAGCTGAGCACCTGACCAAGACTGAAGACTCGCAGTGTAATAGTATTTTAGGAAATGGATGTTGAACTGGACACTTAATCCAGTTATAGTTCTTAGGAATGTCTAATAATAAGTATGTAGCCATTGGCAACAGAGTTAATATAATTTGATACTAGCAAATGCTGCCAGTGATTATTAATCTGAATATCAGTGACATTTCTTAGGAAAACATCGGTAAGCAATGGCGTAGCGTTGAGGAATTTGGGTGTGAGTGTGTTCTTTAGGCCAATATGGGTAGTGGAAAATTTTATTTAGGATGTGTTCTCAAATATTTTACTTACCAGAATTGTGACTTATTGAATACATAATTTGGAACATATGAGAAATCTTACAAGAGCAAAGGTCGTGCCCATGGAAGATTGGATTTGAAATTGGAGCCAGAGGGCTCTTGCTTACCCATTAGTATGCTTATGCATGTGTGTGATTCCCATGAAGGGTTTCTGTAAGGCATGGATATCCTGCTTAATCGAGGTAAGTGTCAGGTTCACTCAGCTTGATGTGGTCAAGTGGCAGAATGTGCTTCAGAAGCTTGGTGCCATGATGAAAACGTCAACTCGTGTGTTGGACTCTTCTGTAAATGTTAGGGCACAGTCTAAATGAGTGCCTGTCGCCTTTTCTCTCCAGGAGGAGCAGCTTCGGGGAGTGACAATGCAGACAAGAAGGCTCAAGGTCCCAAAGGTGGTGGCAATGCGGTGAAGGTGAGTTTCAGTTCCCTTTTTGCCCCCAGCTTACCTCATTCTTAGGGGCTAACCTAGCACTCATAGAAAAAAAAATCACAACAACACGATGTTAAAAAACATGGACCAGTCTCATGAGAAGTGAATCCTTTGAGATATTTTCTCAAATCTTTTCTCAGAAATCCAGGATTTTGTCATAAATTATTGTTCCATAAAATATATTAAGTTAGGTGCTGGTGCCATGGCATCCTATATGGATACCAGTTTGTGTCCCAGCTGCTCCACTTCTGAAACAGCTCCCTGTTGATGTGTCTGAGGAGGCAGCAGAGGATGTCCAAACTGCTTGGGCCCCTGTACCTGCCCTGTCTTTCAAATAAATCATATTTTTTAATATTTATTGACTTTTACTGTAAAGTCAGATTTACAGAGGAGAGACAGAAAGATCTTCCATCTGCTGGTCCACTACCCAAGTGGCCACAAAGGCCAGAGCTGAATCGATCCGAAGCCAGGAGCCAGAAACCTCCAGGTCTCCCACATGGATGCAGGGTCCCAAAGCTTTGGGCCGTCCTCGACTGCCTTCCCAGGCCACAAGCAGGGAGCTGGATGGGAAGTGGAGCTGCTGGGATTAGAACCAGTGTCCACATGGGATTCTGGCGTGTTCAAGGCAAAGAGTTTAGTCACTAGGCTACGGTGCTGGGTTCTGTGCCACACTTTTTTTTAAGATGTCACCACTTGGGGCAAAATGGGTAAAGGTACAACATGCTACTTCTCACAACCGCACAAGAATCTGCAATTATTTCCAATAAAACTTAATGAAACGGGCCCGGCGCGGTGGCGCAAGTGGTTAAGGTCCTTGCCTTGCACGCCCGGGATCCCATGTGGGCGCTGGTTCTATCCCAGCAGCCCCGCTTCCCTTCCAGCTCCCTGCCTGTGGCCTGGGAAAGCAGTCGAGGATGGCCCAAAGCTTTGGGACCCTGCACCCGCGTGGGAGACCCGGAAGAGGCTCCTGGCTTCGGATCGGCATAGCATCGGCCGTTGCGCTCACTTGGGGAGTGAATCATCGGACGGAAGATCTTCCTCTCTGTCTCTCCTCTCTGTATATCTGCCTTTCCAATAAAAAAAAAATATATAAAAATAAATCTTTAAAAAAAAAAAAAAAACTTAATGAAAGATTTAACCCTTACCTACTTTCCCAGCTAGTTCCATGCCACTCCTCTGCACACTCTTCATGGATGGCCATAATGAACTTACTTTTTTCAGAAAGTCAAGATATTGTTTACATATATATATTTATTTTTAAAGATTTATTTATTTATTGGAAAGTCAGATATACAGAGAGGAGGAAAGACAGAGAGGAAGATCTTCTATCCAATGATTCACTCCCCAAGTGAGCGCAACGGCCAGTGCTATGCTGATCCGAAGCCAGGATCCAGGAACTTCTTCCGAGTATCCCATGCAGGTGCAGGGTCCCAAAGCTTTGGGCCGTCCTCTACTGCTTTCCCGGGCCACAGGCAGGGAGCTGGATGGAAAGTGGAGCTGCCGGGATTAGAACCGGCGCCCATATGGGATCCCAGTGCGTTCAAGGCGAGGACTTTAGCCACTAGGCCACCACGCTGCCGGGCCCTATATATTTATTTTATTTTTATTTGAAAGCCAGACCTACAAAGAGAAAGAGAGAGAGAGAGAAAGAGAAAACAAACTTGTATCTGCTGGTTCACTTCCCAAATGGCTGCAACAGCCAGGGCTGAGCCGATCAGGAGCCAGGAGCTTCCTCCAGGTCTCCCACATGGGTGCAGGCAGCCAACACTTTGAACCATCCTCCACTGCTCTCCCAGGCTGTGAGTGGGGAACTGGATCGGAAGTGGAGCATCTGGGACATGATCCAGCACTAAGCGCCACAGTAGGAGGCTTAGTGCACTACCCCACTACCCTAGCCCCAGGTTATCTTTTGAAAGCCATACGCAGTATAGGAGTTTCTCAGGGTAGGTGATTTTAAAAAGCAACTTATAAGGCAAAAATTTCATATAGCCAAAGATATCCTAGAACATGTCTTAGTAGAGATCAATATTATCAGTTCTCATCAAGCCCCCCCAAAAAGCCAAATAACCTCATCACCCAGATGGTAATAATGACCCCTTTGGCAGTCAGATATCATATCAAGCACCCGGGTTGTACTTAGGGGTCAAGTTTGTTTAAAAATGTTATTTTCATTTAATTTGAAAGCAGGGATGGACAGAGAATTTTTGTCTGCTGGTTCACTTGCCAAAGGCTCACTGTAATGAGGGATGGGCCAAGCCAAAGCCAGGCGCCAAGGATTCAGTTTGGGCTTCCCACACAGAGAGCAGACACCCAAGTGCGTGAGCCCCGGCCTGCTGCCGCTCAGGGTGGGCATTTGCACGAGCTGGCTAACAGCGGCGAGCTCGTACTTGAACCACACGAGTAGGATGTGGCCACTTCATTGCTGTACCGCACGCAGTACCTGAGAACCATGTTTTATGAAAGCTTAACTTTGGACATCAGAATTCCACTTTACTTGTTGGATGCTGATTTAAGAATGGAGGCCAACTACTGGAAAAGCAGATTCACGTCCCTCAGGGGGACAAGTTCAAGAGCAGGACCATCTCACCATTTACATTTTCTCTTTTTCCTCTTGCCCTTTCTGCACATGGCTGAATGCAGATGAAGCAGTCACACTGCTACACTGACATAGTAGTTAACTTCCTTTAACAAATCACTCCCACCTAGACGATGGTAACAGGGACCATGTCTTACTCAGTGTTTTTGTTTTGCTTAATTTCCAAAGTGTAACACATTGGCACCAAAACAGATGCCACTAAATCCTAAATGAACTAATGAATCCAAGAATAGGCTCTCATATCCTGTCCGAAATATAGAAATTATCTTGCCACATACTACTGGGTAGTGTAGTTCTGACTGAGGATTAATTATATTTTATTATTAATTACATTGCATTATGTGACACAGTTTTATAGGCGCTGGGATCCCCCCACCCCTCCCCGCATGGTGGACTCCTCCACCTTGCTGCATTGCCACAGTTCAAGTTCAGTTGGGGTTCTTTGCAAGCATATACCAAGCATAGAGTCCAGCATCTTATTGTCCAGAGAGGATTAAATTTTTACACAGCAGACTTTTTGCTAGGATTAGGTTAAAGACTTCAAGTAATTATTTGCTTATTTTCTCTCACCTCCATTTTCCAGATCAAGGCTGTGACTTATGGCTTACTAGCAGGGAGCTTTCTATCTTTTTGTTTGTTTGTTGTTTAAAGATTTATTCATTTTTTATTGGAAAGTCAGATTTACAGAGAGAAGCAGAGACAAAGAAGGATCTTCCATCCACTGGTTCACTCTCCAAGTTGCCCAACGGCCGGAGCTGAGCCGATCCAAAGCCAGGAGGCAGGAGATAGACACTAAAATAAATCTTTTAAAAAATGTATTTAGATCCTCCTAGTATGTGAATCGGCCATTTCTCAGGAAAAAAAAAAAAGTATTGTATGAAACCAAGAACTTAGATAATTGCTAAAAGACACCTCTGCTAAACGAGCAAGTAAGGGTAGAAAGTTTCCTTAGAAAGCTGCCTGCTGGGGCTGATATGGTAGCCTAGTGACTGAAGTCTTCGCTTTGCATGCCACGATCCCATATGGGCACCTAAAGTTTTGGGGCCCTGCACCCATGTGGGAGACCCGGAGGAGGCTCCTGGCTTCGGATCAGCTCAGCTCCAGTTGTTGCGACCACTTGGGGGTGACTCAACGGATACAAGATCTTCCTCTCCCTCTCTCTCTCTCCCTCTCTCTGTCTATCTGACTTTCCAATAAAAATAAAATAAATCTTTTTTAAAAAAAGTGTAGTCAGGATCCTGCCTGTCCTGTATCTGCACACCTTCCCTCCTGCTCCTAGCTCTGCCTCCTTTCATGAGATTTCATATATTTGAAAGGCAGGCAGACACACACACCCATCCCCATCCATCCATCCATCCATCCTTCATCTGCAAGTTCACTCCCCAAATGCCTGCAACAGCTGAAGCTGGACTCCATGGGAATCTTCCACGTGGCTGGCAGGGACCAAGTACGCTGGCCACCACTGCCTTCCCGGGTGCATCAGCGGGAAGTTGCATTGGAAGAGTGTAATCTTGCATGTCAGCGCTGTTGAATCATGGTGGATAGCCTTCTGGAGTTGGCCTTTTTTTCCCACTCAGCGTAGTTGGAGACTGTGTTCCAAGTTATGTTTAACGATACTTTGTCCCTTCGCATTACTGAGCACTGTTTCCTGAGTGGGAGTGCTATTGGAGGTTAAACCATTTAGCTCTTGAAGTGCAGCTGGCTTGGTTTGTAGCATTCTTGAAAGCCCTGGCAGGTGAAGAACCCAAGGCCTTCCACCCTCTTAGGCTCCTAGCTCCTTCCCAGGGTGCCATTGTGCTTCAGACCTCAGCCAGGTGCCCAGGCCCTGTGCTTGCGTCACTATGAACTGTGCTGTCTCTCATCACAGCTTTCCACCTTCCCGTCGTCTTCCTGCCTCCTTCGGCCGTGTTCTGTTCTCTTCACATACCGCAGGCATCCTGTGTTTCTTTTCCTCTCCCCTCTATTTCCTGTAAACTCAAAACTAGATGTGACAACTTGAGCACTGGATTGAATTCTGGCTCCTTTGCCTTTCAGTCATCTGCCTGCATCCACCTGCCAAACTAAAAAGCAGAATCAACCCAGGGGTTTGCTTTCCTCCTACTGAAACACAGCCCTGCAGGGCCCTCCTGGAGAGACATACAGCTATTGATACTGAGGCCGCGAGGGCCTGGCCTTAAGCTAAGTAACCCCTCAGCCCTGCTCAGCAGCCCTTGGCCATTTGCCTCATGCCATCTGCCGCCCACCTTCACTCAGTTAGAGGAGGATCTTTTCCCGTGGTTCTCAGCCCTGGGTGGACGTCAGATTCATCCAGGCAGCTCTGCAGAAATGCCTCTATTTCCACGCCAGTCCCAATTGCAACAGACCCTCTGGGAGTTGAACCTGGATC